GCCCCGCCCCCAACGCGGCGCCCCGCCCCCAACGCGGCGCCCCGCCCCCAACGCGGCGCCCCGCCCCCAACGCGGCGCCCCGCCCCCAACGCGGCGCCCCGCCCCCAACGCGGCGGCGCTCAGAGCCGGGCCGCCCCGCCTCAAAATGGCGGCGCGCAGGGCGGAGCTCCCGCCGGGAGGGCGGGGCGGCGGCAGCATGGCGGACGATAAGGTGAGTAAGGTGGCGAGGCGCGCTCTGCGGGCTTGGCTTGCGGCTTCGCCTGCAGCTGCGCGTCCCCGCAGGACTCGCTGCCCAAGCTGAAGGACCTGGCTCTGCTGAAGGGGCAGCTGGAGAGCCTGCAGCGGCGCGTGGAGGACGAGGTGCACGCCGGCGTGGGGCAGGTGAGGACGGCCGGGCCCGGCTCCGCCCCGCTCGGCTCCGCCGGCCCCGCGCCCTGACGCGCTGTGCCCCGCAGGGCGGCTCGCTGCTGGCCTCCCCGTTCCTGAAGGGCTTCCTGGCCGGGTACCTGGTGGCCAAGCTGCGTTTCTCGGCGGTGCTGGGCTTCGCCGTGGGGACGTGCACCGGCATCTACGCCGCGCAGAACTACGCCGTGCCCGACGTGGAGAAGACGGTGCGGGACTACCTCAGCTCGCTGCGGAAAGGAGGGGAGTAGCGGGGCCGCCCGGCTCCCGGGGCGCTCGCAGACTGACCCTGCCCGGTGTTCGGTTCTCCCCCCGTCCGGTGCGTCCCGGGGAGGCAGATCTGCTGCTCTGTCGGCAGGAGCGAAGCTGCTCCTTTCCGCCGCACGGGGAGCGTGGCAGGTAACGTCCTCTTGTAGTCGGGCTCATTAAACTCGTGGCGTTTGGTCTCTTCTGAGTATCCCGAGGTGGGAGTCTGTACGGCCTCCCCCCTCCGTGCCGGCCCTCGCCCTTCGTGCTGCAGCCCGGGGATGGCTGTGTTTGGGAAAGCCGCCGGCGCCCTGCTCAGCCCTTCTCAGCGCGGGCTGTGGGGGCTGATGCTGCTCGCCTCTGTGGCCATATACGGCTCCCACGCTCCGCTCCTCGCCCTGTGCAAGGTGGACGGCGCGATCCCCTTCAGCTCCTCGGCCGTGGTGGTTTTCATCGAGCTGACAAAGCTGGTGCTCTCCCTGCTCTTCCTGCTCACCTGGGACCGGCAGCTGCTCGGGGCCGCGGTGTCCTGGCACCACGTGGCTCCCTTCGCCCTTTCAGCCCTGCTCTACGCTGCAAACAACAACCTCGTGGTTCACATGCAGCTCTTCATGGATCCCAGCACCTACCAGATCCTGAGCAACTTGAAGATCGTCAGCACCGCGCTCCTCTACAGCCTCTTCCTGCGCCAGAGGCTCCGTGCGCGCCAGTGGCTGGCGCTCTGCCTGCTGATGGCTGCTGGGGTGAGCTACAGCTGTGGGGGTTTGCGGGACCCACGGGGCTCTGGCAGCCCCTCTGCCATGCAGCTGCACATCACGCTGGTGGGCTTGTTGCTGATCTTGGTGTACTGCCTGATATCAGGCTTGTCTGCTGTCTACACAGAAGCTATCCTGAAAACCCAAGCTCTGCCCCTCAACCTTCAGAACCTCTTCCTTTATTTCTTCGGGGTCCTGGTCAATTTGGTCGGCCACTTCTGGAGCAGCACAGAGAAAGGTTTCCTGGAGGGCTTTTCCTCCTGGGTGCTGGTGATTGTGGTCAGCCAGGCCTTGAACGGCTTGATTATGTCCGTGGTCATGAAGCACAGCAGTAACATCACCAGGCTCTTTGTGATCTCTTGCTCCATCCTGGTCAACGCTTTGCTGTCTGTTGCCCTCTTCAACCTGCAGCTCACCCTTCTCTTCTTCATTGCAGTCTTGTGCATCGGCCTCGCTGTTCATTTGTACTATGGGGTGACGTAGCTGTGGCCTCCCTGCCCTGCGTGCACCAAGGCAGCCCTTAGCTGTCACTCAGGGGTGTTCCTTGTCTGTGCTGGGCCTGGTGTGGGGCACAGTGATGCCTCCCTGCCTTTTTGTTCACAGGAGGAGGCAGGGAGGCCCAATATGAGTTTCTGCTGCCCTAAAGCAAATGCCCTTTGGGAGGGCTTTGCTCAGCATACCTCTGCTCAGGAAAAGGAGAGAGTGCCCTGCCAGGCCCCATGCTTCTTTATCCCACACCTTTATCCAGTAGGCCCAGGCTTTAGAGTGGATCCTGAGCCCCTTCTCGTATGGTACGTCACACTTCTGCTGTTTTCCACATCTTCTGCACACTGAAGCACACATCTATCCCCTGTGCTGGTAAAAGCTGCTGCAGGGTTAGCCCTGGTTTGCTGCTCGTGAGCATGCGGCCAGCCCTGCTGCCAGAGCAGTGTGCTGCTGCCAGGAGAGCCCTGCACCACGCCTGGGGGTTTCTCCCACCCTTCCTCTGCAGTATTCCACCCCAATCCTCAGCACAGCCCCTGCCTGGAGGTCTGGTATCCTTGGGCCCTATTTGCCTGTCCTGGGCACAGTATTGCTGTCTACCTTTGTGGACAGGGATTATAAGGGGAGTCTTATGTGCTCTCTGAAGAGGAAACAGCACCTGAATTTGTACAAGTGTGGTGTGGCTAGTGAATTCCTGGTGGGCAGAAGTCACTGCTGGCTCTGGTATGGTTATTAAAGCTGTGGTTTAATGATGTGCATGTGTTTGTTCTCCCTGCAGGAAGATAACAGTTTCACTTGGCAGAGCCCTGTACTGCCCTGTTCAGTAACACATCTGAGCCTGACGCTCTTGGTGGGGGGGCACTTGCTTTATTGCACTCGGCAGCATCCCTGGGGCCACGAGCCCTTCCATGGCACCAGCTGTAGCCTCGTGCCTGTGTCAGTCTGGTGCCACAGAGAGCCATACCTGTGCTGCTCAGAAGGCTGTGTAGATTGGACTGGAGGTGTGTGCTGGGCAGCAGCAGGAGGAACCAGCACCCGCTCTGTCCTTGCTGTCAGGGTGGCTGTTCCCACTGCTCAGGGACTCTGGCTCAGGGTGTCTGCGTGGTGGCATCAGCTGAGCTGTGTCTTCTGGCCTCCCGCAGCTGCTGGTTGTGCATGGAGAGCTCCACGGCGTCCCGCAGCACCTCCTGCAGCAGTGCCTGGTACCGCTGCTTCAGTGCTTCTGCTCGCTCCTCTCCCCGGCGCTGCTGGTCCTGGAGCACCTGCAGGGACACGCAGGGGCCCTGGCACCAACCTGGCCTCTGTGTGCAGAGCCATGCCAGCAGCCGTGGTTCGGTCCTCGCCTGCTGCAGGTGCTGCCTCCAGGCCTGCATCTCCTGCCCATGGCCCTGCAGAAGGGCATCCAGATGCTGCTTGGCTGCCTCTCGCTCCCTGCGTGCTGCCTCCAGGCTCAAATGCAGTACAGCCACCTCCTGTTGCAAGCAAGCTGCATCCTGCTGCAGGGACAGGGATAAGGACGGGGCGGCACTGAGATATCTGTGGGAAACTGGAGCCCCTCAGGTCTGCCTCTTTTACCCTGTCTTGTCAGGCTCTCCTCCCATGCTCACCTCCTGGTCTCGTACTGCCCTGTCCTGCAGCTCCTGCTGGAGGAGCTGAGTCTGCAGCTGCTGCCTCTGGGCCTCTGCCAGGGAGTCTTCAACTTCCTCAGACTGGCGTGGCTCTTGCTGGTTTCCTGCCTGACAGAGGCAGGTCCATGGGTGCCCAGCAAGGGGCTGGGTGCAGGGGGACCTGGGCTGCTTCTGGACACAGACCTGGTGGGATCTCACTCACTGTGTGTCCCCTGGTCAGTGCCTGTGGCTCCTCCATCAAACCCTGCCCTGAGCTCCCTGGGGCTTGGCTGGTCCCTGCCCTGCAGCTCTCACTGGGCTCTGACGTTTGTGGATGTGAAGGATGTGATGTAAGCAATGCCTCCTACCCACCTCAGTCCCCCAGGCGTGGGGCATGCCCATCCCCTGCTCCTGACCTCTCACTGGCTCCAAACTGACACCATATGGGGGCATCTGGGTCCCAGGCTGTTGTGTTGGTGCTGCATTCCCTGCAGAGATCGGGTCCTGTGGGAGACGGGGACACAACGGGAGGCAGCAGGCCTTGGTGCTGCTGCTGTGCCCAGGTGGTCCGTGGGGAAGGCAGGCACGTCTGATCTGCACCCACCTCGGCACTGGGCTGCTGCACCTGGTTTGTCCCAAACACCCTGGTCAGCGCCTGTTTTTTCTCCCACTTTTGGCTTTTCAGCACCTGGAAAAAGCGATTGGGGGTGCCAGGGAGCTCCAGGTGTGAACATATCCCACCCAAACCGCCTCGGTGCAGACATGGGTCTGGGACACCTCATCCAGCCAGGGATTGGCGTTGCCCCGCTAGTGACCAGGCCATGGAGCGTCCATAAGTGTCCCCCACCTGCAGCTCCCGCAGAGCTCTCTGCAGCTGCGCCAGCACTCTGCGCTGCTCGGGGCGGCCCACTGCCTCCTGCAGCTCTGTCTGCAGCAGCTCTGTCCGCAGCCCTCGGATCTTCTCCCTCCGCGCTGCCACCTCCCGTGCAGGGTCCCAGTGTGTGGGTGACACTGATTTGTTCGCCCCCTTCACCTGCTCAGCCAGCGCCAGGGCTGCCCGGATCTGCTCTCTGGGGGTGTCTGTGGGAGCAGAGAGCCCTGGGTGCCTGGGCAGTGGCCGCGCTGTGTCCCTGGGCTGGCACAGCGCGGCTGCCGGCCGGGACCTCATGGTCCCAGCGCTACCTGGCAGCGTCACACACAGCAGCAGGAAGGTGAGGCTGTTCCCCTCCAGCAGCCGCTCCACGATCCAGGGCAGGGCGCCCATGCCTGGTGCTTGGAGCATGGGATGGGGAACCCTGCTGAGAGACACCCACAGGAGGGATGGGTGCACGGAGCTGGGCGTGCGATGGCAGGAGCGGGCTGAGCTGCAGCTCCCACACGTACAGCTCAGGACAGGCTCCTGGGGATGCCAGAATGCGCAGAGCTGAGCGCCGATGCCTGCCGCCCTCCAGCTGCTGTTCCACAGTGAGGGTGAAGAGGCTGCAGGCCCTGGGGAGAAGCTGGGATGAGCAGCAGTGCGTGGTGCTGGGACCCCCACCAGGGGCCTCAGCCGAGCCCACCCACCCCTGTGTGGCTGAGGGTCCAGCAGCTGGAGCAGCCCCTAGCCCCCACGTGTAGATGCTGATGGCAGTTTGGGCATTGGACACAGTGACCTCCATCACCTCCTCCACCATTCTAGAAGCAGAGAGAATGAACACTGAGAACCATGTCCTTCCACCTCTGCTTGCCCTGGCTCCTCGACCAGGCCCATCCCCACAATGGGTGTTGGGGTGCCGGCCACTGGGGTCCAGCTACCTACAGGCCCAGGGGTGTGATGTCCATCACGTGCAGGGCTCTGCCATCGGGACGGAGCAGGTCCCAGGCTTCACCCTCAGCGCAGACCTGGAATGGGACAGTGCTATATGGAGGCCAGAAGGAGGGGGCTGCTGGTAACCTGCACCCACTGGGGCCCCAGGCTGCTTGTGTCCATGCATGGGCTGGGAAGGGAGTGCATCAGGGTTGCTTCCAGCACCAGGCCAGGCAAAACCAAAGCCCTGAGAACCGCAAGGGGCCGTGCAGGGCTCGTGCACAGGCTTCCCACTTCTGGAGAGCCCAGGGGTGAGAAAACTGAGTTGCAAAGGCCGCATCATTTGGGACTGGCAGCAGAATGGGGAACCTTGCCCAGAGCATCCTGTCCTGGCCAGCCCTGCTGCCATCGTACCTGGACCAGGCTGACTGTGTGCAGGCGTTGTGCGTTGCTCCCTGACACTTCCAGCTCTTGAAAGACGATGTTGATCACCTGAGGACAAGCTGGGAGCTGCTGGTTCTCAGCAGGCGTGGCTGTGTCCCACACCTGTACCAGCAGGCTGGGATCCTAGAGCCCAGCAAGGTGACTTCTCTGCAGCCATTCCCCATGCCCTCACCTGCCAGATGATGTCCTGCAGTGGCAGCTGGCTCCCAGGGCCATTTGGGTCCCACAGCATCAGGGACACACTGTAGCCAAGGGGCAGCAGAGCCAGCTGGGGTCTTGCCAATTCCAAGACCTTCTCCTGGTAGAAGAGATGTATGTAGCTGAGGAGGAGTGGTATGGAACAACCAGAACAGTGCAGATGGCCCAGCACAGGGGTCACTGGCATGGAGCAGATGGCACAGCAAAGGTGAGATGGCATGGAACAGGATGGATGGCAGAGACAGCATGGCACAGCACGGAGCCACAACCCAACACCAAGAGGAAACAGGGAGGGATGAGAAACAGCAGCAGAGACATTTGAAGGACAAGCTCCAGGACCTGAGCACACCCAAGGAGCTGGCAGTGGTCACCAGCACTGCTCAGACAGGAGCCTGATGGCAGCCATGTGTCCCTGGCTCATCTGGCTGGGCACAGGGCTGCAGAAGGACGTGGGGCCCGTGGTACCTGTCCTGCATCCAAGTGAAAGATGTCATCGACAGTCAGGCAGCTCTCCTGGCATGATGGAGTGAAGGTAAAGATATTCAGCTTCCCCCAGTATGACCAGTGCAGGACAAAGGAAGGACTGGGCACACTGGGCTGCAAAGTTAGTGTGGCACAGAGGAAGGGTGAGACTCCCATCCTTCCCTGCTCTCGTCTGAGGCCCAGGAACTTTTGTCCCGTCAGTGTCCCCACCCCTGCCGCTCTCACCTGGATCTCCTTCTCTGCAAGAAGCAGCTGCAGGGGGTCTCCACTGCCAGCTGCCCAGCTCTGCCCTGAAAACATCGAGCATGGAAAGGGGCCACCCCACCTGCCCCAGTTTTACCCCCAGCAGCCAGGGGCCCAGGTTCGAGGGGCCATTTTCCCCAAGCCCTCTCACAGCGACCACAGTGCCCAAAGCCACCACATGGGTGAAGGGGAGGAAGCGCTCGCCCCACCGCCGCAACAACCCCCAGCGCCGCTGCTGCTCCCAGCCCACCTGCTGCCTGCTGCAGTGCCACGGCTGCTCGTGCACACACCTCCTGCTCAGCTGGCGGGGACACACGCATGGCAGCAGGGACACAATCCGGCTCCTGCCCCGAGCACCACCGGGAGCCAGGTCAGCCACCCCAAAACCAGGGGACAGTCCCCCCAAGAAGTCTGCAATGTGCCCCGCTCACCTCCTCACCGTCCATGGCTCAGCACCCAGCGCAGGGCAGGGATGGGGATCGTGTTCCTGTGCATTATTGATGGTGATCGGGCACAGCCGTGTGCACACAGCCGGGCATGGGATGAGGCACCTCGGACGTTATCTGGGGATGAGAAGCAGCCACAGCCCACAGGTTCATGCCTCCTGGAGACGGACTGTACCCAGAGCACCCAGACAGAGTTGGGGAGCTCTGTTCAGTGCCAATACAGGCTGAGGGGGCAGGAGAGGGGTCCCAGACTCTGCCCTTGGCACTAAGGTGGGAGCAGGCACACATGCCTCTATCTGCCACCACTCCCTGTAGGACCAGGTGACACAGCAGCTCCTGTCCCTGAGCCAGCCCCAAAGTCCGGAGTGATGGGATGTGAGCCATTGGGTGTAGATGGGGAAACAGCCCTGTGGGTTTACTAAGAGCAGAGAGGTGCTGATAAGGGTCAGTGAATTCCAGTACATGGGGACTTACTTCCCTTCCTGCTCTGCTGGGTGGAGGTGCTGCTCCCAGTTCCCAGAACAAACCCCAAGGTGCAAACACGGACCCAGTACACACCCAGTGTACTGGACCAGTTAAAGGTCAGACAGGGGATCAGGCCCAGTCAGCGTGGGCTTATGAATGGTAGAACCTGTTTGACAAACCTGACTTTGTTCTGTGACAAGGTGCCCCGCTTAGTGGATGAAGATGAGGCTGTCGATGCGGTCTACCTGGAGTTCAGTAAAGCCTTTGACACTGTCCCCCACAGCATCCTCATGGGGAAGCTGGCTGCCCATGGTCTGGATGGGCGCACGCTGTGCTGGGTGAAACACTGGCTGGATGGCCAGGCCCAAGGAGTTGTAGTCAGTGGAGTTAAATCCAATTGGCAACCAGTCATGAGCGGTGTGCCCAGGGCTCGGTACTGGGGCTGCTTCTGTTTAACATCTTTATTAACCATCTTGATTAGGGGATTGTGTGCACCCTCAGTAAGTTCATGGACTACACCAAGTTTGGAGGGAGTGTGATCTGCCTGAGGGGAGAAAGGCACTACAGAGGGACCTGGATAGACTGGGTCGAGGTAAACAGTATCAGTTTCAATAGGCCAAGTGTCGGGTCCTGCATTTTGGTCACAGCAACCCCAGGCAACCCTACAGGCTTGGGGAGGAGTGGCTGAAAAGCTGCCTGATGGAAAGGGACCTTGGTGTGCAGATGGACAGTGGGCTGAATATGAGCCAGCAGTGTGCCCAGGTGGCCAAGAAGGCCAGTGGCATCCTGGCTTGGATCAGGAATGGAGTGGTGACCAGGACCAGGGAAGTCATCCTGCCCTGCACTTGGCACTGGTGAGGCCTCACCTCCAGTGCTGCATTCAGCTTTAGGCACCTCAGTAATGAAAGGACATGGAGGTGCTGGAGCAGGTCCAGAGAAGGGCAACAAGGCTGGGGAAGGGATTGGAGAATGTGGCCTGTGAGAGAGACTGAAGGAACTGGGGCCGTTTGGTCTGGGGAAGAGGAGGATGAGAGGAGACCTTATTGCTCCCTTCCAATATCTGAAAGGTGATTGCAGCAGAGCGGGGTTGGTCTCTTCTTGCTGGTGGCAGGTGAGAGGACAAGGGGAAATGGCCTCAAGTTGTGCCAGGGGAGGTTTAGCTTGGATATCAGGACAAACTTATTTACGGAAAGGGTTGTTAAGCACTGGAATAGGCTCCCCAGGGAGGTGGTTGAGTCACCATCTCTGAATGCGTTCAACAATCATCTGCATGTGGTGCTCAGGGACATGACCTAGCGGAGCGCTGTAAGCGTTCGGGTAGCATGGTGAGGTTGCAGTTGGACTCGATCTCAGGAGGTCTTTTCCAACCTTAATGCTTCTAAGAGGATTTTCAAAGCTTGTGTTGGAAAGCCACCACCGCTGCAGGACAGCGCTGGGTGCAGTCCTGCTCCACAGCATCCTCCCGTGGCCCCTGGCCACACAACCACCTGGGCCGTGCCCTCCGCGCCCACAGCAGCCCGCCAGCCACGGCCACGCAGAGCAGCGCCAGGCCCGTGCAGACAGGAGCCAGCACGGCGGCGGGGCTGCAGCGCAGCAGGGAGGCAGGCACGTCCCGCAGCAGCACGCCCCGGTAGCGGGCAGGCGCGTGGCACACGTAGCCCTGCGGCCAGCCCTGCCCCAGGCACCCCGCGGCCGCCAGCGCCTGCACGGCCCCGGCCCCATGGCAGGTGCAGTTGAAGGGGTTCCCGGCCACGGCCACATCTTGCAGGCGCTCCAGCAGCTGCACCTCGTCCTGCGGCAGCTCCGCGATCAGGTTGTCGTCCAGGTGCAGGGTGTGCAGCGCGGGGCAGCCCCGGATGGACGGCACGGCCGGCAGAGCGTTGCGGCTGAGGAGGAGCATCTGCAGGGAGCGCAGGGAGATGTCTGCAGCGTGGAGGCGGTTGGAGCTCAGGTCCAGCACCTCCAGAGTGGGGGGCAGAGGTGTGAGCACTTCGTCCAAGCCGGCGTTGGACAAGTTAAGGATGCGGAGGGTCGCCGGCCACTGGCAGGAGGACGAAGGCGCACCGGCGCTGAGCGCGTTGTGGCTGAGATCCAGGTGCTGCAGCTCGCCCAGCAGCCGCACGCCGCCACACACAGCGTGGTACGACGTCAGGTGGTTGTGCTGCAGGCTCAGCACCTGCAGCTGCGTAAAGGCCCCCCGGCAGAAGGCGGGCGCCAGGCCATCGTCCCCCAGGCTGTTATGCGCCAGGTCCAGCGAGCGCAGGGCCCGCAGCACCCGGCCCACGGCGCAGGGCAGCACGGCCAGGTGTGACGCAGTGACTGACAGCTCCTGCAGGGCTCCCAGCCAGCGGCTGAGCGGGGACAGGTCCTGCTCACGGCCCTCCAGCGCGGCAGCCGTCACGTTGTGGAAGCGCAGTGACAGGATAGGCAAGGCCCGGCCCGCCATGTCTGCCCAGCTGCTCCTCCCCACGAAGCTGCAGCTCTCGAACGCCATCTCCTGCACCCGAGTGTAGGAGAAGAACTGCAGGACGCGGGCCAGGAGGACCTCGGGAACCAGAAGGTCCGAAAAAACGATCTTCCTGATTTCCAGGCTGCCAAGCATGTCAATGGTGGAGTCGTCCAGGTCCTTGATGGGGAAGTCAGCGTATTTCTCCAGTTCTCCCCCCTGGAACTCCACGGTGGAGGCGGCGAGGCACTGGATGACGCTCCCGGCGCTCTGCTCGGTCAGCCTGTAGCACAGGCAGTACTCCTGCGTGCGGTTGAAGACGCACCGGCCCTCGGCCTGCTGCAGCCCCAGCACCAGGAGCAGCAGAGCGGCCTCACGCATGGCGAGCAGCCTGGGAAGGAGATGGCGGTGAGCCATGGGACCGCGGCCAATGGGTTCTGCAGAGCAGCCCTGACGGAGCCCACGCTGCCCTCACCTCTCCTCCTGCAGCTGGTGGGTGCAATCAGCGGCATGACGCCCTGCCTGCTCCACCTGTGCCATCACTCCCGTGTGGCACTGCTCTGAGCCCAAAAGGAGATCTCAGCGGGAGCAGGGCTGGAGATGGGGCACACTGCCGCTGGCTGCTGTCCACAACCGGCTGGGAAACATCATGGATTTGGAGAAGTGAGAGGTGCTGAGCAATGCACAACAGAGCCAGAGCCGCCAGTTTGAGCAAAGGACGGGGCAGCCACAGCTCTGTTTGTTTCCGTGCAATCCGGGGCAGGAAATTGCAAAAGAGGGCCTCATACTTTCCTTCTGATCCAGGGATCTTATTCATTACCAGCCCCAAGGGGAGAGCAGAAAATCATTTCTGAGGATGTCCGTACACCCCTGCCGGCACCACGTACCGTTCTGCTGCCCGAATAACTGCAGGCTCTTAGCGGGGGCAGAAATCAAAAGTACTCCCGAGCTCCCAAGTATGCACTGACTCAGCTCCACCAAAGGGTGGTGTGAAGGAGCCGGGGGGGCTCCGCTGCAGCTCTCCGCCCGCTCCAGCCCAGCGCAGCCCCAGCCCTTACCGCGAGCCTCACAAATCCCAGGGGTCGGAGTTCACCCCGCGCCCACCGTCCGGGGGTCCTCGCGTCCGGCCGCGCCCACCTCTCCCCCCCGACCGCAGGTGAGCCGCGCTGTGTCTCACCGGGCAGCTCCGGCACGGCTTTCCGCGCCCCGCCGTGCTTCCTCCAGCTGCTGCCAAGATCCGACAGCGGTGCCAAAAGCTCCGCGCCCGCTGCTCCCCTGCCTCCAGCTCAGCGCAGCGGCACCACACACAGGTGCCTCCCAACCCCGCCGGCACTTTTTAGCCTCCGTCCTGCCCCGCTTTGTTTTAGCGGCACCTCCCGCCCGCTCGACGCAGCAGGCAGACAGCACCGCCCGTGCTGCGAGGCTCTCCGTCCCGACCGCTTCCTGAGTGGGACGGGGCCACTGTGCCATGGGAAGCAGCGGGCGAGCACTTCTGCTTCGCGTGCCTCCGCCGAGGGCTGCCCCGACGTGCGCACCTCGGGGCCCCCGTGTGCGTGCCGCACCCCACGAGGGACGGAAATGGCCGCAGCACCGAGAGAAAGCTAGCCGAGCTTCATCTCCCCGCAGCTCCGCGGGAGACCCGCGCTGCTTTCACTTCCATCCCGCGATGCCCCTTCCCCGCTCACAGCAAAGCGCTGAGGGCGGTGAGGCGCAGAGAGGCGGCGGCGCCCCGTCCGTGCAGGCAGCCAAGGTCTGGCTGGATGGGCTGCGAGCACGGATGGGTGCGGGTGTCGCTGTGCTCTGCGGGGGCTGGGACTGCACGGCCTTCGGGGGTCCCTTCCAACACAAACGGTTCTGTGACTCCATGACAACCCCTCCCAGACACCGCCAGCAGCGCCCGGCAGTGCGGGGTGGGAAGCGCCGGATCCGGTCACGCAGCGCCGCGCCCCGCCCCCGGCCCCGCTCCTCCCGCGGCAATGTGGG